AGCCTGGAAACCCTATGGGGCAGTCTGCTCTGTCCTACAGTGTCACCATGAGTCAACACCAACTGAACAACAGGATTGGTTGGGAAGGTGACTAAGATCAACTTCCTGATTTTACAGAGGAGGGTAAGTGAGCCAGAGAGGTTGAGTCTTGGAGGCTCCATTGTTAGTTTAGAGTTGGGAGGAGTCCAATAAGCCAAATACCTCCTGTCTCAGGCAGGGTCCTCTCTAACATCCCTCCAGCCTGCTGAGATATCTTATAGACCAGTGAGTTTATCACCTCTTCCAGGAACACAAATAAACATTGATCCTAATCTCAGGTTTGCTCTATATTACAAATAACAGAAAACCCACACAGTAGTGGATTAACTGAAGCAGGGGTTTCGTTCTTTCCGTGAGTCCAGAAGTATGACGTCCACGACTGGCTTGTCAGTGCCACCATGCCAGTCATCGCCCGCTCTATTTCTAGCTCTCTGCTTTCATTAGTCAGTCAGGGTTCTTTCGAGAAACCGAAGCCAACAGCAGGGAGACCGAGGGAGGGAGAGACTGACTGATGCTAAGTACCGGACTTCTTGTGACTAGGGGGGCTAACAAGCCCGGAATCCATAGGGCAGGAGGTGATGCCGCATCTTGAGGCAGAATTTCTCCTTCTCTGGAAATGGGGGTTTTTGCTCTAAAAGCCTTCAACTGATTAGATGAAACCCACCCACAGTTTGGAGGGTGGTCTCCTTGACTGAAAGCCAACCACATGTCAACCACATCTTCAGATACGTTCACAGCAGTGCCTAGACTAGCTTCTCCTGAAGGAACTGGCGGCTCATGTAGCCCAGCCAAGTTGAAACATAAAAGTAACCATAGGGAGACTTGGGAACCATCAATTTCTGGGGAGTGAGTTATCATTAAAGTTAGATTTAAATGCGTAATTAAGGGAAGAGTTGGTGAATTTTGAGTAATAAATATTCCATTAGAAAACTATGAAGTATTCATTTAGGAGTGAATATTATTATAGTGAAAGAGGCTGAATCAAAATTGGGAAAATCTGAGTTAAACCAAAAGATAATTAAAGTAATGAAATGTAGTTTTAATTAAAAATGTCCAGTGTCCGATTTTGTACAGAAATGATTAAGGCAAATATAGTTCATGTGAAGGGACCGTGGTGGTGGTGGTGGTGGTATGCTATGGAGTTGGTTCCGACTCATAGCGACCCTGTGTAGTGTTTCCAAGGCTGTAAATCTTTACGGGAGCAGAAAGCCTCATCTTTCTCCTGGGGAGTGGCTGATGGGTTTGAACCGCTGATGTGGCTCGCAGCCCAGCTGGTAACCCAGTGCCTCATCAGGTCTCTGAAGGGAATCCCGAGTAGCTCCTTGGTGCCTGTCCACTGACGCAGGGCTGCTCTGCTTTGTTGCAGGTTCCTCCTTGGTCGTACCACTGCTGAGTCCCACGAGTCTCTTCCAGCGGCTGTTCAGCATCTTTGCTTCCTTGATGCCAACCTACCTGCTACTGAGCACAGGGTATACTCTTTATAAAACCTTTGATTTAAAAGTAGCAAGTTTAAAATGGTAATTTGGAATTTTCTCTACCAGTATTTAACCTATAGAAATGTAACACGTTTTAGTAAGTCTTGAGAAATAAATTACAAGTGTTTATTTCTATAAGAAAAGTAAAAGGTTTTTCTTCTGGAAGAATTGTACATGACAGCCCATAATCTTCCAGGTTTCCTTATCATTTTCACAGTATTGCTTGTTGTCTGTGTCTTTCCATTTATTTCCTGAATAATCTAGAATGTCATTTTACTACTGTGTCAGAAAACTTTGATTGATGATGCAGTAAGTCATTTTAAGTTTCACACTAAGACTTTGAATGATTTTCGTTTGTGTCGCATTCCTTTCATGTACTTTAGATTATGGCTTTGATTTGTTCGGTCTTCTTTGCATTTAATTTTCTATCTGTTTCTGTTTTTACTCTTGTATGTATCATAATACTAATTCTCCTTTGATTTGAGGAACTTTGAGAATGTTTTCCTCAAAGTTAAAGACCGCATTTTTATTCACTATTGACATTTTCTTAAAACAAAACAAGCTTGATTGAGGCAGACCCCAAAGCATTGCCCCAGGCTTCAGTGAAGGCAGAGGTGTATCCCCACCATTAACTCTGAGCAGTTCTGTGCTTGCTTTTGAATGTTCCTTCATCCCTGCATGAACTGTATGAGGGTGAGGAATATAACAAACCCTGGGTGGTACAGAAGGTTGAAATACATAGTTCAGGTTTTGACGGAAATACAGCATATCTTGGTCCATATTAGACTAAAACCAGGAAATTAATCATTGTGATATCAACAGATTATTCTCAATCTTTTTTATTTTGTAAAACCATTTGTGCCTAAGACTTGAGTTCACTGTTAGAAAAACTTAGTTGTCCTAATTCAGGATTTAAGGTATACTCTTAAAATCTTGTCCCATATGTATTGTTAAGTGCCGTCAAGTCGATTCTGACTCAGAGCAACCCCGTGTGACAGATGAGAACTGCCCCATAGGGTGTCATAGGCTGTAATCTTGATGGAAGCAGTTCTCTAGGTCTTATACCTATGGAGCTACTGGGCAGGGCTTTCACCTATGGAACCCCCAACCTTTCCGTTAGCACCCAAGCGCTCAAACATTGCTCCAAATCTTCTTGTAGTAGAAGAAGCCCAGGTGTTCTAGTCCCCAGGGAGGTCCTGTATGTCCTTCCCTCTTGACATAACTCCCCTCCCCTCTCCTTAAATAACCAGATCCGGGACAAACCTATGAAGATGTGATGGAAGCACTATGAAAGTTCTCATGAGTTACCTAGTAAAGTATTAAAATGGGCTTGCTTTGAGATTTTGAACTTTGACCTTTCAAATAAAGCTTGACGTTTATGAGCACCCAGCTGCTCTTAAATGTGGTTAACATCCTGAGGCCTTAAACCCTTTACCCCAGTAAAGACTGCTGGGATTTCACGGTGAATTCTTTTGGTTTATTAAGATCCACCTTCAGTGTACATATGAATTAGAACATGCTCACATTTTTAGTCTAGATAAGGGACCAGTTGATAAGCTTATTTCTGTTCTAGCGCACCATTTTGGAGGACACGTGGGTTTCCTTAGGAGATCATCCTACCCAGGGGATAGCTTAAGGAAATATATGTGTGAGAGGGTCCAGAAATGTGTGCTAACTTCTACACAGTCACCTTATGAGAGAAAACTTGTTTCTTTTTTGAATCTTCACATTTATAAAGTAATAACCATATTAAAAGGAATATATGTTGTTGCTGTTGTTAAGTGCCGTTGAGTTGGTTCAAACTCATAGCAACCCAGTATAGTTCCCAAGGAGTGACTGGTGAGCTTGAACTGCTAACCTTGTGATTTAAACCGACCTTGTAGTCCAGCTCATTAACCCACAGCAACACACTAGATTTTAAAATCTAACAAACCTGGCAACATGTCTGATTCTCTGAGAAAGAAAGAAAAAAGATAGAGGGGGAGGGATAGAAGAAAGGAATGAAGGAAGGGTATTTTTGACTAGAAAAAATATTTGGTAAAGTACAGTGAGTTAGTCACGGAACTTACATTAGGGAGTAGGTGTTCTAGTGTTTTCAGTTTCCTCATATGCATGCGGAAGCTGGGCAGCGAATAAGGAAAGCTGAAGAAGAATTGATGCATTTGAGTTGTGGTGTTGGTGAAGACTAACGAGTGTGCCCTGGACTGCCAGAAAACTGAATCAACCTGTCCTGGAGGAAGTACTGCCAGGGTGCTCCTTAGAAACCAAGATGGTGACATTTCGTCAAATTTGCTTTAGACTTTCTTCAGGAGGGACCAACCCCTGGAGAAGGCCATCATGCTTGGCGAAGTAGAGGGTCAGTGAAAAAGAGGGGACCCTCAATGAGATGGATTGACACAGTGTTTGCAACAATGGTCTCAAACATAACAGCAATTGTGAGGGTGTACACCTGACTCAACAGCATCTAACAACAACAGCATCATTATAATGTTTTAACTCATCAATTTCATTGTCACAAGTCTGGACAAAATTCAAATGTTAATGTTGGACATGACCTTATTAATAAATGTATCATGAGATCTAGTCACTATCAGAAAGTAGGTTTAGCTTTACAAAACCACTGACCAGCGGTAGTAACTTGAAGCAGCAGTTGTATCATTTCACTTGGTACATTTTTCTTAGTGTCAAATAATTTTACCAGACATAGGCCACCTTTGACAGTTCAGCAGCACAGTGGGTGATGTGGGGCCATGTCTGTTTAAATGAGTGGAATGCAGATTTATTATTTTTCAGAATTACAACAGCAGTAACCCTAACAAATGCATCCTTGATTTAGTGAAGACAGGAGATTCATTGTTAATCAGCGCTTGATTATTTTTATGTAAATGGAAGTTATTATAATACTTGAAAATAGTTTGTTCTTTAAAGTTGGTTAACCATTTCCCTTTGAAATTTTGGTTGCATTAACGATTTGCTTATCTAACTGTATAAAGCTGGATACTTTTCCAGCCCTATTCAGTTTGCACAGATCCTTGTTTGTTATTGTTGCTAACTGCCTTTGAATAGGTGCTGACTCATAGTGACCCTGTATGGGGTTTCCAAGGAGCGGCTGGTGGGTTTGAACCTCTGGCTTTGCAGTTCAAACCGACCTTGTGGTCCAGTGCATTATCCTGCAGCACTACACCAGGGCTCCGGGCCCTCGTTTATTATTGTTGTTAAGTGCTGTTGAGTGGATTCCGACCCATAGAGACCCTGTATACAGTTTCAAGGAGCAGTTGGTGAGCTTGAACCACCACCGACCTTGCAGTTCAAATGACTTTGCAGTCTGACACATTAGCCCACAGTGCCACCCCAGGACTCCAGGTCCTTGTTTGTTGTTGTTGTTGTGTGCCGTGGAGTCGGTTCCGACTCATAGCGACCCTACACAGGGTTTCCGAGGCTTTAAGTCTTTACGGGAGCAGACTGCCTCATCTTTCTCCCGCAGAACCGCTGGTAGTTTCGAACTGCTGACCTTGCGGCTCGCAGCCGGGTGCTTGTTTAGTAAGGTTTAATTATATACTCTAAGAGGCCAGATTACATTTGATTGGTATCTCAGGTTATTTATTTTGGCAGTATGCAGACAGTATACAAGGTATTGATTGTCTGGAAAGATCAAATCTCTTAGGAAGATTGTCTGATTTTCCCACCTCCATTTTACAAGATAGTTTTCATAGTTTATTGAAAGAAAATAAATCTGTAGTACTATTTGTAGAACTATAAAATTTACATTCTATTGCATTAGAATATAATTATATATATATGTATGTGTATATATATATATGTGTGTGTATGTGTGTGTGTGTATATATGTAAGCAAATATGTTAAAAGTCAAGGTCCCCATGTGCTTATTCTAACATGACATTTTCTTTATTCAGTTAACAATTGTTTTTTTTCTTTTGCATCTGTATGTACAATGAGCGTACCATACACATATAACATAGTTGCAAGATGCTATAAAATAAAGGCTGTTTTTACTGTGCTAGACAGTTACAGAATGGAACAGTGAGGCTATTGTAAATTAGTGAAGTTGTGAGGTGTGTAATAAAGAGAAGACTGAGCAGGTGAGCTGGGTTTTGAGAAAAGCTTTAAAGAAAGGCCAAGATTCAGGCATTCTAAACCTTTGCTTTTAAATGACTTTTAATTATAATTACATTTTAGAAAGTAGAGATAATGGAAGAATCAGTTATTAGACCTACCCCTCCTGTTGACATTTTGGTCTATTGTACCTTTAAAGGTTTTGATTTGACATGTTCCTCTACCTCTTCTACACATAGTTCTTTTAGTTTAGGCATTGAATTGTCTTCCTCCCTGTGTTGTCTTTCTTTTGTGTACATGTCTGTCCTTTACTTTATGAATGATTTTTGAACCCGTACTATTTTAAATATGTGATGATCTCAAGATTTAATAAATTAAGAAAAAAAAAAAAGTTTAGCATTAAACTTGAGATTTAGATGTAAATTTTCTTTTTTGCTCTCTTCTGGAAAATGTAGGAAATTTAAAATTTTGTGGTAGTTTGATTTAGAAGTATCTTCAAGATTTTGACAGTATAAAATCACCATTTTTATTTGCTTCATTTTTTCCATTTCCTCTCCCTCCCTCCTACATGTAGGTATGAAGCTCTTTTTCCCCTAGTCTTATCATGCTTGATGTTTGTCTGGATACAGATAGAACAAGAAACTCGACAGCAGTCTGGCGTTTCCTGCAAACAGAAGGTAACTTATTGAAAATATTCTCTAGTTTACTTGGCAATAGTAGGACATTCTGTGTCTATGAAGAAGTTGCAGTGTTATTTCATTTAAAATATTTTCTTCTTAAAACTTTACAGTGTTTAAGAAAGTTGAATGAATTTTATGTCAGTGGCAATTAAGTTAAACAGTTAATTTGTAAGGAATATTTTCACATATCACAGAAAGCATACTTTTATTATTTGGGGGCCAAAATAGAAATTGAACTTTTCTTAGTAATCACCTGGGAGAGACACTGACACAAAACACATCAGTACGGATGAAGAAATGAGGAAGAAAGGAAGCTCTTCATAGGATTCCCTGATTTTCGCATCCAGTTCCTTCATTCAGTTTATTTTAGCGGATATTCATGTTATCAGAATTTATGAATTTGATCATAAGGTGACATAAATTCCTAGTGTGGCACTTAACAACAACAACAACAATGACGTCTTTCAGGAACCTTGGTAGCACAGTGGTCAAGAGTTGGGTTGCTTACCAGAAGGTCAGTGGCTTGAAGTCATCAGCCGCTTCTAGAAAGAAAGATGTCACTGCCTGTTCCTGTGAAGGTTTACAGTCTCAGATACTCTAAGGGGCAGTACCACCCTGTCCAACAGGGTCAGTAGGAGACGTAATCGACTTGCAGTCAGGATTTGGCTTTAGTCACTTACTTTAAAATACTTATTTTGTCACATCAGTAAGTGTGCCTTTGGTTCACACTTTGGATCTTGGCTCAGAAGTATACTTTGAATTGGTTAAAACCCAACCTGATTTTAAGGGCTGTTGTTGATCGGTTCCATTGAGTCAGTTCTGACTCACAGGGACATTATGCACAATAGAATGAAACACTGCCTGATCTTGCACCATCCTTGCAATCCTTAAATTTGAGCCCAGTGATGCTGCCACTTTGTCAATCTGTCTGACTGGAGGTCTTCCTCTTTTCCACTGACCCTCCACTTTACCAAACTTGAGGTCCTTCTTCAGTGACTGGTCCCTCCTGATAATATGTTCCGAGTCTGAGAGACAAAGTCTGGCCAACCTGGCTTCTAAGGAGCACTCTGGCTGTACTTTTCCCGACACAGATTTGCTTGTTGTTCTAGCGGTCCATGGTATTTAAACCGTAATTCAAGGATACTTTTGTCATATTATGGTAGACAGTAAAATTGATATCTCTTGGTCTTTTTTTGTTTGTTTAGAACTGTAAGTTGTGAGGAATTGGTGATAGAATATTTATAAATTTACTAAGTCAGATAAACTGAATTATTGTTAAAAAAAAAAAAATGGCTTCATATGTTATCCATCCTTAGCTAAATCTAGTTAAGGTTTGTATAATTCATAATTTATAAAAATTAATAAGAAACTTAATGAAGTTTATTAAATAGTTAAAAAACTTTCAGTCTTGGAATATTAAAACAATATGTAAAAAGCAATTTTGATCAGATTTTAAAGAGAAATTATCTTTAATATTAAATATTTTGGTAGATTCATTGTGTCACTTTTAAATTCTGTTTTCAACCTCATACAAATGATCTTTCCCAAGAAAAGAGCAACAAAGTATCCCAGCACCTTGTCATGTGCTGTTTTGTCAGTTGGAACTCGTGGTGTTCCCATGACAGAGAAACTGTCCATAGGGTCTCCTAGGCTGTAGTCTTTCTGAGAGCAGATCTCCAGGTCTCCTGTGGTGTGGGTAACGGGTCCAGTCTCCCTTTAAACTCACCCAGGATTTTTCTTTTCACAACAATGGATTAAGCAAGCAGTGTACCCGCCTTGTTAGAACTGAGTAGCTTTCTGTTTTACCAAAGATAAGAGTGTTTAGTTTTTTTTATAGAAAGAAAAGAGTTTCTCTGCCAATAAGAGTTAACAGTAGAAAAAAGAAAGATTTACTTTTTATTTTTTCACACTTTTCAAAACTTTATTTAGAGAAGCTCAGTGCACTTGGAGACCTCTGAATCTTTGCATAAGGAAGAATTATGTAGGGGATTAATAGGAACTCCCTTAGCTATCACAAGAAAAAGCTAAATTTTTACTTTTCTTACACATGCAGCAGTATTATAACAACCGTGATCAATTTATTATGAAAAACATATTTTACCTTTTGGCAGGTTTTACTTAGGTGTAATTAAGCTACAGAAAAAGATTGATTTGTTGGCATGAGGTGTCTTTCTAGCCACTGTGACTTAGACTGTACTTTTTCCTTTGAGTGTAGAAGTCAGCCAGCTGTTATTGAGTACTAATGTTTTCCTTGTTTTCTCACAGTTGACCAGTATCGAATTTTCCTGTAACACGGATATAACTCAGTTTCGACAGCTCGGTCTGGATGACATCCGCAGGGCCTTTTTCTTGGTATCCTTCACTGGGACTTTGTTTAAATACAAGGAACGGCTGCTTCTCATTTAATGGAATAAGAAGACAGAGAAAGTAGTTCTGCCCAAAGTTTGTGGCTTTTCGTTAAAGTTCCACCAATCAATATTTATTGCTTAATACTTGACTATATCCTTCTATAAACACTGAGCTTTAATCACCGACTTGCCGTTCTTTGGATGTACCACGTACTTTCCCACTGGTCGGTTACCTTAAAATCCCTCTCCACTGCTTCTCCATACCGCTATTCATCATAGTCTCCTAGCTCTGTCACTGAGGTATGTTGGACAATAAATGTTAGTTGTGTAGTTGATTGGTTGAATGAAAGTATCTATGAATATTTTTAAGGCTAATCTCACCAACTGAAATGCTACTTTTCCATTGGAAGGTTTTTATGATTCATATTGCCTTGTTAGTGTGTCTTATACCACTTTCGTGTGTGTATAAGAATAAAATGACTAACATGTATTGAACCCTTTCATTGGGCCAGGCAGTATGTTAAGGATTAGCAGTAAATTCTTAGATACCAACAGGATTACTATCTAAACCTTTTGTTACTGTACTAATACAAATATAAATTCAACATTTACATTTTCAGCATTTTTTTTTATGTCCCATTTCCCGTCGAACTATTTTTAAATGTGCTATCTTATTTCTTTCTGACCCTTCCAAAAACTCTCACACGTGGATTACATGGTTCGGTAGGCACACTAACCGGCCATAGCAGTGGTTCCGCTCTCCCTGTAGAGAAAGAACGTTGGTAACCTGCCCGAGGTCACTAGTGACCAAGTGGATACAACTGCCCAGGCCTCAGAGTCCTCACTGCAGCATTCTTCAGTGTGGCTCCTACACAAGGAGATACAAGAGAACCTTCATTGACAATAATTTTCTGACCAAATGTAAAGGTAAAAAAGAAAGAGTTGGCGTGTCTTTTTTAAAATGGAAAAGCAATTTGTTATCAATTTTGACTAGTTTTGGCATTTCCTTGACTCTATTTAGGTTTTCTTCCTAGTGACAGCATTTTTTGGAACTGGAAATATAGCATCTATTAACAGGTAATTTTGAATGAATACAGCATACTTATTTACATTAATTCAAATATATGCAAATTGGATGATGTCATTTGGAGGTTGTTACCTGTTGGTACACCCAGATCCACTTCATCTTTTGAGTGACTTCATAATATCCCTGATAAGGTGTGTGCTTGTGTCTTGGTCTGACTCGATTTCAGAAAGTTAAGCACCCTTTTTAGAACAATGGCAGTGTGGATTCTAACGTCCTTTGTCTTCATGTTATGACTCCTTAGCTTTGACCTTGCGTCTGTCTATTGCTTTCTGACGGTGTTCAGTCCTTTTATGATGGGAGCCCTGATGATGTGGAAGGTTAGTTTCTTACTGTTTTGATTAAGAGGGTGATTGATTAAGATTATGAACTGTGGTGACATAAAGATTACGTAATGCTTTGTGCTATTAAGATCATGAAGTCATTGTGACAGAGATAAACAACTATGGAATGCGATAGCATCTCAGACTTGGCATTGACAGCCCTGCTTGGAGATGAGACTGACTGGCCTCAGCATGCAGTTAGTCTCTCTGTTTATTCTTACGCCCTTTGGACTTCAGAAGAATACAGATTTTATCTTAGTCCCAGAGAGTGACTAAAGCCTAAAGGGGCAGTCCTAGTGTGGCACTGTAGGATAAGCACTGGACTGTTAGCCACAAGGTCAGTGGTTCAAACCCACCAGCCGCTCCTTGGGAACCCTATACAGGATTGCGGTGGGTTGGAACTATCTTGATGGTACTTAAAGATAGCAACAAAAGCCTATGGGAAGCTGTGATCAAAATGACAGTGTTCCAAAAGATTCTAAGGCTCTCTGAACTCATGTTCCCCATCCATGAGATGGCCAACATGTTCTTAGCTCCCAGTCTTTGCTCCTGATCCATTGCCCCTAGACTGAGTCTCTTCGTTCTTCCAGTGTCATTGATGCTTACCTGCTGTGATGTGCTGGCCCCAGACTGGGTGCTGAGGGTACAAAGAAGATGATAGCACACTCTCTGCTTTCTAGGATTCAGACTCTCCCGTGGAACGGAATTCACAGCCTTCTCCTTTATCTCTTGGGTCACAATGCTAGTCTGGTTTCCTCCACCTGACTTGACCATATTGTGGTTGGTGATTGTGTTCTGTAGAGTCAGTTCTGACTCACACAGACCCTGTATAGGGTTTCTGAGGTTGTAAATCTTTACGGGAGCAGAAAGCCTCATCTTTCTCCCACAGAGTGGCTGGTAGATTTGAACTGCTGACCTTGCAGTTACAGCCCAGCTTGTAATCTATTAGGGCTCCTCTTCCATATTGTATTTGCCATAGTGCCTAGTTCGTTTTGTGTAGTTAGTATCTATTTGCTTAAACAGATAAACAATCCCTGCCTAAAATCTGATGGCTTGCTGTTGAGATCACACGAGTAATTATTGCTAAAGAATATATCTGTTTCATTAGGATCAATATCTACTTTTTGTTACCACACTAACACAAATGTAAGTTTAAGACATGTTTCAAAAGATGTTCAGCCTTCTCTCATGTCCCCTTCTGTATTGACTTTTTTAAAAAAAAGTATTAGTATTCCCTTAATTTTCATCCAGTGTTTTTTAATGGTAGATCTTTTCTTAGTGTATTACAGACTCAACCCCACTGATGCTGAGTTGATTCTGACTCATCCTACTCTATCCCTACAGGATAGAGTAGGATTGCTTCATAGGGTTTCCGAGACTACACATCATTCTGACTGAGTTGATTCTGACTCATCCTACTCTATCCCTACAGGATAGAGTAGGATTGCTTCATAGGGTTTCCGAGACTACACATCATTCTGACTGAGTTGATTCTGACTCATTCTACTCTATCCCTACAGGATAGAGTAGGATTGCTTCATAGGGTTTCCGAGACTACACATCTTTTCTGGAGCAGACGGCTTCATCTTTCTCCTTCTGAGCAATTGATGGGTTCAAACCATTGGTTTGTTGTTGTTGTTGTGTGCCGTGGAGTTGGTTCCGACTCAGCGACTGCACAGGGTTTCCAAGGCTGTAAATCTTTACAGGAGCAGAAAGCCTCATCTTTCTCCAGCAGAACAGCTGGTAGTTTTGAACTGCTGACCTCAAGGTTTGCAGCCCGATTCGTAACCACTATGCTACGAGAGCTCCTTAACCATTGGCTAGCAGCCTTTAATTAAAAACAAGAGAAAAAAATTAAAAGAAAAGCTTACCTTAGAAGGTAAGCTAGCACTTAAATCTCCAAGTGACTCAGAGAGCTTTAATGACATGTGTGTGACAACTTTGCTGAGGGATATGACAGGAAGGGAAGGCCCTCCTGATAAGGGTTTTATTCATGTGTCCCTAACTTGAGAAGGTTAACATGCAATCTTGAATTGTTTTCCATAATTTCCTTTCCCATTTTTGAAACAAGTGTTTCAAAATAGATATGGAGTCCTGGTGTAGTGCTGTGGGTTAATGTGCTAGATTGCAAAGTTGGTTTGAACCGCAAGGTCGGCAGTTCAAGCTCACCAGTTGCTCCTCGGAAACTCCTTATAGGGCCGCTATGAGTCGGAACCAGCTTGATGGCACTTCACAACATACACACATATGTTTATTTACTTTAAGAATTGATCATTGGAAAGCATGTCTCAAATTGTTAAGAGTGTTCTTTCTGAATTGTGCATTATCAGCCAGTTTGCATTTTAATATACTTTCTGAATGTTTCAAAGTTTTTACATCGAGTATGAATTTTATAATAAAAAATAATTAATATGCTAAAATCCAAACAGCAATGTTGTATCATGTTTATAGTGTTGCAGTATTGAGAGGCCCTCGTGGCGTGGTGGGTTAGGCACTGGCTGCTAATTACAAGGTTGGTGGATCAGACCCACTAGCCACTCCATGGGAGAAAGATGAGGCTGTCTGCTCCCGTAAAGATTTAGTCTGAGAAACTCTGCGTAGGGTCGTTATGCTTCGGAATTGACTCTATAGCTGTGGATTTAGTATGAAATAATACCAAGTAGCAGTTTGAACCCAGCAGCAACTCCTCAGGAGAAAACATCTGGCAACCTGCTTCTGTAAAGATTAGATTAGAGCCTAGGTGAGTCTATGGGGCAGGTCTGCTCTATCACAGAGCGTTTCGATGAAGGGAGTAGACGGGTTGAATAACCAGACGGGCTCAGAGATCTGTGAAGCAAGCTACCAGGCTACACTATTGATGTGATATGGACATTCTGTGCCTTTCACACTGTTTTAGAATCATTTGACAATTGTCACTAATTATTATAATGAGTTACAAAGGATATTTTATAATAGGCTTTTATGTGGATTGTGTGTGTTGTTAAGTGCCGTGGCGTTGATTCTGACTCATAATAACCCTGTACAGGGTTTCTTAGGTTTAAATGTGGGTTTAAATCAACAAACTCGTAGTTTGCACCCAGTGCCTATCCCACCCTGTCACCAGGACCTTCTGATACTCTAACACTTTAAACATGATCCAACTGTTTTATACTGTTTTTGGTTTCCTACTGTTTTATAGTATTTTTTTGGATTTATATGTATAGGCATTTTTTTATATTGCATATTATTATTGTAGATTTTCTTGAGCAGTTTTATTGTGGTTCTGTATGTCATTAGTATCATGCTTATATGTCATCCAATGTTTATTCCTCACTAAAATTTATATATAAAAGCCATTTGGAAAGTTGAAAATATTTCTAAAAGCAAAAATAGTATTGTTTCAAAAAGTCTAAAATGCTTCATTTGCTCATTTGCTGTTCCTTTAAGCAGATCTTAATCCCCTTTGTTCTTGTGATGTGTGCTTTTGAAGCTGTCCAGCTAACTACCCACTTATCATCTAAAAGGTAAGATACATGTTTAAGAAATGAGAGTAGACATTGGAGGTGTATTTCATGTGATTTTTGTTAAGTCACATAGCATAGTTTATTACAAAAATGAGAAAATGTTTCTCCCTTTTAATCAGAGCCTAGTTATCATTAGAGGAAATTAGTTGATTAGGGCCTGGCACAGACTAATGTGCTGTCTCAGCAATAATATATTATTAGAATATTATTAAGATAGTAATGAGCCTCCCTAGAAAACAGTAAAAGAGCAATGTGAAATTACTGTGTTTAATGACTTGTTTGTTGTAGATACAACTACGCTGACAAAGAACAAAGGGTATCCCGCTAGCTTCTCTTTGGGCGTATTTCTTACACAGGCACAGTACTGGACGAGTGTGTTTGCATGATTTCATGTCACAGGGCTTCACGTGGACTTTTCTAAGTGTCATAGATGTGCATGGTCACTACACATTTGGAAAATGGGATTAGAAGTTGTCTTTCTGAGTTCTGAGGAATTTTAGGAGCAGTGAGTCTCAGGCAAGCCAAATGTAAGGAGAAGCTGTCGACTCAACTGTTTGCTCCTTTTAACCAGTGAAATTGCTTCATCAGCACAAGCCCGGTCAGCCTCTGTGAAAGGCACTTTAGATAAATATGAAATGTCTTAGCAGTTTTGGTATTCTTGAAACAAATGGGCATATTTAGTGCTGAACGAAAATAACTATGATCAGCGTAAATTTGCATGATCTTCTTGATGAGGTTAAGCTTAGCACTGTGTTCGGCATATTATTATGCACAGGGCCTAATTTTATCAGTGTTTTCTTTCCACTGTTTAAGATTAGTAGAAGGCTCATTTCTGGCTTAATTTAGGATATTTTTACAGGATACTTGTATTAATTTAACATTGGCAGCATTTGGATCTTGCCCACGTCACAGAACTGGTAGTCTCTTCCCCTTCCGTCCTGGCACTGGTGCTGCTCGTTGCCATGGGTAGTTTCACTCATGGTGACTTCATGTGTTGCAGACTAGTTCTGGTACCTAGAGTATTCTTGGCTGTAGTCTTTACAGAAGCAGTTTGCCATCTTTTCATTTAGCAGAAGAATTGTAGGGAATAATGTTGGAGAGGTAGGCAGGGATCAGTGCATATGGAATGGATTCTGTTACTGGACGCATTAAAGCGAGTGCTAGACAATGCCATTTGTAGCAGCAGTTACGAAATCAACCAACGTATTGCATTAGGCAAATCTGCTGCAAAAGACCTCTTTAACAGTGTTCAAGAGTAAAAATAGCACTCTGAGGACTAAGGTGTGCCCTGACCCAAGCCATGATATTTTCAGTCACCTCATATGCATTTGAAAACTGGACAGTGAATAAGGAAGACAGGAGAAGAATCTATGCATCTGAATTAGTGTTGATGTAAAATATTGTAAGTACCATGGACTGCCAGAAGAAAGGAAAAAAGTCTGTTTGAAAGATTCATGGCCAGATTGCTCCTTAGAAGAGATGATGATGAGACTCGTTTCTCATATTGTAGACTTGTGTTCAGGGAGGACCAGTCCTTGGAGAAGGACATGATGTTTAATAAAGTGGAGGGTCAATGAAAAAGAGGAAGACCACCAGTGAGATGGATCCACACAGTGGCAGCAAACATGGGCTCAAACATAACCCTTGTGAGAGTGGCCTAGGACCAGGCAGTGTTTTGTAATGTTGTACATACGGTCGTTATGAGTCAGAAGTGACTCAGTGCCACCTAGCAACCACTCAGAGTGTGAATTTCTAATGTAACAATCCTGATTTAATGGTATTGTTTGTTGTTATTGTTAAGGCACCCCTGAGATGGTTCTGACACACAGCAAATATATGTACATTACGATACACTGCCCAGTCCTGGATGACCTCTGTAGTCTTTTAAACCTGCAGGTAGAAAGACAGTTGTTTTTGAAAAACAAATCATAAACCACCACCAAAACCTCATACCTTACTAACAAATTAGCACTAAATGGATCATGGACCTAAGACTTTTGGGAAAATTCCTAACAAAAAGTCTTTGGGACCTAGGGTTAGGTAAAAAGTTAAACATGACACCAGAACCATAACAGAAAAAATTAATATTTGAGTTCATCAAAAGCAAATGCTTTTGCTTTATGAAAGACCCTGTTAAGAGGAAGAAATGACAGCCACAGACAGGGAGAAAATGTTTGTAAACCACATGTCAGACAGGGGCCTAAAAAGAATCGCAAACTTGGCAGTAAAAGACAAACCAATTAGAAAACAAACAAAAGAAATGGAATGGATATACAAATGGCAAATAAGCCTGTGAAATGATGCTCAATATCAGTAGTTATTAAGGAGATGCATGTTAAAGCCACAGTGAAATTATCATTATACATCAATCAGCATGGCTAAAATAAAGTTAGTGACTTCCCCAAATGTTGTTGAGAATGCAGACAAATTGAATCATTCATGCATTGCTGGTGGGAATGTAAAATGGTTCATACGTTCCGGAAGAGTCTGCAGTTTCTTAAGAAACTAAGTCAACAGTCGTACTCTTGAATGTTTTTCCTACAGAAATTAAAACTTATGTTTACACAAAGACTATAAATACAAGAGCTATATTTATAGTAGCCACCACAAACTGGAAGAACCCTTATGTTCTTCTTTGGTTGAATGGTTAAGGAAAAAAAAAGGAAAGAACTGTTAATAAAGTAACAACCTGGATGAGGCTCCGGGAAATTGTTGTGAGTGAAAAAGCCAACCCCCAAGGACTACCTACCGTATGATGCTATTTACGGACCCCTACTTGAAATGACCAAAGAAATGGAGAACAGATTTTTGGTTGCCAGGGAGGGTGGTGGGTGGAGGGTATGTGGCTGTAAGAGGACATCTGAGGGGCCCTCATGACGATGGAAATGCTATGCCCATGTCTGGACCCTGGCTGTAGTGTCGTCGTTTTACAAGGGGTAGCCATTGGGAGAAACTAGGTGCAGGATGCAAGGGATCTCACTATATTAGGCTTTCGAACTGCATATGAATTTACAGTGATCTTTAAATTAAAAATGTAATTTAGAAATCGTAATTCATGTCCTTTGTCTACTACTGGAGAAAATATTCAGCATGTTCAGTAACACTTTTGAAGTCTAGCTCATCACTGTGCGGAAGTCGTCCATGATAATGTGACAATACCTCTGTTGACAGTGGTATTTCCAGAAACAAAAATGCTGACGCATATTGGGTTATTTAGTCAATCTCACTTGATTTTAATGTGTTTGGAAAAAAAAGTGACTGTTCTATCATACCTAATTTTTTATATTTGATTTGTTTTCAGCCTTTTCCTCATTGTTCTCGTGATTTCAGACATAATGGCTCTGGTAAGACTTTACTAGATACTCCGTATAAATAAGAAACTAAGAAATAAGACTGTATTCTGTATACATGAAATCTTTGGATATTGAGTTGTAAGTGCTGGCAAAATTTGCACATCCAATGACTTCCAGGTATGTGACTTATCAGCAGTAAGTGATCTTCTTAAGGTTCCTGTTCTAACCCATCATTTCGAATCCTAGTATTCTATGTTACATTGTATCTGAAGTGAACCTTCTATAGGATAATAGAAGAAAAAGCTGACCACTAGTAATCATCACTTTCCTACATCAAATGTTGATTTTTAAACACTTCTTACAGATTAAAAAAGAGAGAAACAATTGAAGGAGGGAGGCAGGTGGAAGACTTGGAGCGAGATGAGGAGGGCGGGAGGGGAAATACCACCTATCAAGGGAGAGATGTTATTAAAGTGGTGAAAGGAATTCGTAGTGAGGAGCATGTGCTGCTGCTGTTGGCGGTGGTGATGGTTATGTGCCGTGGAGTCACTTCCGACTCATAGTGACTCTGTACAGGGTTTCCGAGACTGTAAATCTTTACAGGAGCAGAAAGCCTCATCTTTCTCCCGCGGAACAGCTGGTAGTTTCCAACTGCCAACCTTGAGGTTCGCAGCCCAATTTGTAACCGCTATGCTATCAGAGCTCCTTGTTGTTGTTAAAGCCATTAAGTTGATCCCCACTCATGCAACCCTGAGTAGGGTGTCTGAGGAGCGGCTGAAGGATTTGAACTGCTGACCTCTTGGTCAGCAGTCCAGTGCTTATCCTACAGTGCTATGACAGGACTCCTTGTGCTGTTTCCAGGTGCCATTAAATCAGTTCTGACCCATAGTGACCCTGTATAGGGTTTCTAAGGAGCAGCTGGTGAGTTCAGACCGCCAGCCTTGAAATTCAAACCTTGGGATCTAGTGCTTATCCTACAGTGCCACACCACAACTCCATGTACATGGGCCCTTATATGTAGAAAATTGACAAAATGAGGATGCATTTTGAACACCTTCAAGTTTGAGAAGTCTCCAAGGCTACTGTCATGGTGGTAACTGGCTGGAAGCGCTCACAGCCCTCTTAGGAAGCTGGACACTCCCAGTTACAGCTCATTACAGCGGGAGGATACAGGGGAAAGCCAGATGAGGGAGGAAGCCCGTTAAGACAGGTCCAGGGAGGGCCAAATGGGGGGCTTCCGTTTGTCCTCTTCCCATGGAGTCAGGGCAGCATTACAAGTATTATCCACTTGGGAAGCCCACCTGGGCCTGGATGTTTTCTTTGTTGTTTCTATTGAGGCTCAATCATAAACTTGCCTGTGTGGCCCACCTTTAGTGTCAGCTTCTGATTTTAGTCAGAAACCCCATGTGGATGGTCTGGTGGCCAAGGCTACCAGAGAGAAACCACTCCTGTCAGACATGCATTCCAAGGGCTTCAAGATCACTTCCCAGGAACCTACTCCTTGAGGAAGGATTGTTTTTCACATCATCTGCTAGAAGTGATTGGAGACACCTCCCCAAACAGATGACTAGTCCCTTGATTTAGAGAGGAACCCTGGTGGCACAGTGGTTAAGTGCTCCGCTGCTAATCAGAATGTTGACTCTTCAAACCTACCAGGAAGAAAGATGAGACAGTCTGCTTCTGTAGAGATGTGTTGTTGTTATTAAGTGCCACTGAGTCAGTTCCAATTCGTAGCAACCCTGTATAGAGTTTCCGAGGAGTGGCTGGTGAATTAGAACCGCCAACCTTGTGGTTCAAATCGACCCTGAGGTCTAGTGCATTATCCCACAGCGCCACATCAGGCCTCCTCTGTGAAGATAGACAGCCTTGGAAATCCTCTAGGTAGTTCTCTGTCCTTGGGGTCACTGTGAGTCAGAATTATTAGATAACAGGTTTTGATGTCGATGAGAGCATTTTGGGGTTGTATTAAGCTGCACAGAAATGAACCACACCTACTATTAGAACAAATCAGCTGTCAGTGTTGCTAAAACAGTGGAAAAATGAGAAGATGTGTTAGTAAAAAAGAAATTAGGTTCTCAGTGATTACTTTTACATAAAAAGATGATTTAATATAGAACCATTTGTGGCTTGGCTTCTGGTTATTTGACAAGCCTCACCTCTCCCCTCTTCCCTCCCTGCTTTCTCTACTCCTACCTCACCTCAAGTTCTGTCTCCACTCCTGATGTTAGTAAACACACAATTCTGACCCGCAGTGACCCCTTCTTCTTCCCCTGCTGAATCTTTCACTAGACCACACCCCTCCTGAGAGGGAGTTTGCCTCTGGGACCCACATAATGATCAGCACATAGTTGACCGCCAGTCAATATTTATTAAAATGGATGGATGATTTGGCTTCTTTTCGCTTGTCTTTAATATCATTTAGTATTTCTAATGGGAGCACAGAGGCTCCATATGACAAGCAGTGGACTAGGAATCCCAAGGTTTGTGATTTGAGCCTGCCAGCTGCTCCGTGAGAGAAAGCTGAGATTTTCTGCACCTTCGAAGATGTAAAAACCCTCAGAAACCTTACACAGGGTCTCTGTGAGTCGGAATCAACTCGACGGCACGCCACAACAAAAGTGTCTTTGGATTAAAGTTGATTGGTCCTTTTTTATTTCTGGTTATTCACAAATATCACTTCTGTGTTCATTTTGATTGAATAATTCTATTTCTGGATTTAGATAACTGCTTATTTAAGAGAAGTAAACATTTCAGGAAGTTTATATTGAAGGGTCAGAAATCTAGAACACACATTCCTAGAAGAACTTTGCTTATAGACTGAATCTGAGTTTCTTTGAATTAATGGAATCATATTTTGTTTGATCCTACAGCACTTCTTCTTCCTGGTGAAGGATTATGGCAGCTGGCTAGATATTGGAACAAGGTCAGTACATAGTCACATCGAAGATCTAAAGTGTATCGTGAAAACAGTACCTTGGTATTCCAGTAAACCAAGAAGGAACCAAAGTGATTTTGAAGGAATCTGAGCAAGTAGCAGAGTCCTGGTGTGGTGGTGTAGGATGAGCAAGGTTGGTGATTCCAGTACACCAGCCACTCCTTGGAAACTCTAGCCAGGGTCACTAAGAGTCCAAACTGACTGACGGCACACAGCAACCATGTACAAGGAGCAATCACTTTAAGCCTCTGAAGCCCAGCCTTGTCATCTCCTCTGTTTGTGCTGTTCTCTGTGCTGTGTGTGGAGAGAACTAGAGAGCAGCAGGAAGGTGTAAGCTGATCTCTACACGTCCTTGTTTCTCTTCTCTCTGTCTCTGGAAATGAGGCTATGCAAATTACAGTGTGAGTTTTACATGTGACTTCAGTCCCATCTGTTCATTCTCTGCCTCGTAGTATCTTAAAGATGTTGAATAGGAGAGCATTGTGACATGTGACATACCTTGTTATTTAAAGTATGTTACAACCCAGTGTCACCTTTCCCCTTTTTGTGACTTTTGTGATCTGAGTATCAATGTTAACGGATTGCCTCTGTTGTTTATTTTCTCTGAGAAGAAAGCAGAGAAAGCTCATCATTTTGCTATTTTTCAGAGACAAAGCATACTTTAACAGACTTATTTTATTTCACTAGCCAGTATTTTTCATTACTTTGTGTTGCCAAGAATTGTTCCAGGTCTGGGTGAAACCCTCCACGTTAGTCCATCTCTCCCTTCCTCATACTTCTCAGGCAGCTCATCTCCTGTTCACTGTGCACATAGCTGTCTCCCCAAGAGACTATGTGTGCCCTGCTTCTTGGATCTTACTACAGTCTCCTACCTTCCATACATGCTAAGCACATAAGAAGTCCTCTGTAGATCTCTGAATTTGTTTTCTTAGTCTTTTGCTTTTGAATGCTCAGAGAAATTTTTGATATTTCCTCCTCACTAGCTGTGTCATCCCCAAAGGGTCCAGTCGAATGGTGGGTCAGAGTCTGGGTTTTATACCAGACTTACGGAATATAAATTGAAGTATTTCAACAAATTGATGTAGCAGTAGAGGCTCTTACTACTCAGGACTGAGAAATTTGGAAGATAGCTACCTGGCCAACTGATTGGAAAAGCTCTATATTTGTGCCCATTCCAAAGAGAGGTGACCTTCACACTCTATTGTTGTTGTTGTGAAGTGCCTTTGAGTCTGTTCTGACCCATAGCGACCCTATACACGGTTTCCAAGGAGCAGCCGGTGAGCTTGAACTGCCGACCTTGCAGTTCAAATGGCTTTGCAGTCTAGCGCATTAACCCACAGCGCCACACCAGGACTCTTATTAGGTCACCTTTATTTGGAATGGGCACAAATAATGGATCTTTTCCATTCAGTTCTTCTGGTAGCTGTCTTCGAAATTCCTACTGGAATATGAAGGAGTCCTGGTGTGGTGCTGTGGGTTAATGCGCTGGACTGCAAAGTCAGTATGGTCACTAAGGTCAGTGGTTCAAGCTCACCAGCCACTTCTCAGAAACCTTGTACAGGGTCAGTATGGGCTAGAATCGACTCAACGGTATTCAACAACAACAACAACAACTTTGGAATGTGAAGATAATCAAATGATATAATTAATATGACATGCAAATGAAATTTTGTTGAAGGTAATTCAAAACATTTGCAGCAGTACATTGACAGAGAGCTTCCCGAAATTCAAGATGGATTCAGAAGAGGACAGGGAACTAGAGATGTCATTGCTGATATCATATGGATTACTGGAATCAGAGATTACCAGAAAGGTGTTTACTTGTGCTTTATTGACTATACAAAGGTTTTCGACTGTGTGGATAACGTTGTGAAGAGTGAGTATTTCTGAACACTTACTTGTGCTCATAAGAACCTACCTGTACATGGACCAAGAGGCAGTTGGCTGGTTTAAAATCAGTAAAGGTGTGTGCCACGGTTATATCCTCTCACTATATTTACTCAGTCTGTATGCTGAGCCAATTATTTGAGAAAGTGGATTATATGAAGAAGAACGTGGCTTCTGGTTTGGAGGAAGACTCATTAACAACCTGCAATATGCAGAAAACAAAACATAGCCTTGCTTTCTGGATGAGCAGTTAAAATATTGATGGAGATAAAAAACCACAGCCTTTGGTGTGGATTGCCCCTCAATGTAAAGAAACCAAAAATCCTCACAACTGGACCAATAAATAACATTATTATAAGATATCAGTTCCAACTCAGGGCAACCCTGTGCATAACAGACATCATGCTAGGTAAATTAGAGGGTCAGCAGAAAAAAGGAAAACCCTCAATGAGATGGATTGGCATAGTGGCCATGGCAGTGGGCTCAAGCTTAGCAACGATTGTGAGGATGGTGCGGGACTGGACTGGGCAGTGCTTTGTTCTGGTAAAGCACACGGACTCCATGAGTTGGAACCAACTCAACAGCACGTGTAAACAACACTTTTCATATGAAAGTGTTCATCATTCAGCTCTGATAGCAGAGTGGTTACGAGTTGGGCTGCTAACCTCAAGGTCGGCGGTTTGAAACTACCAGCTGTTCCATGGGAGAAAGATGAGGCTTTCTGCTTCCTTTAAAGATTTACAGCCTCAGAAACCCTGTACAGGGTCGCTATGAGTCGGAACTCGCTCCATGGCTCATAACCAAGCAACCAAGCAACCATCATGAATTTATGTTGCATATTTGAAATTTCTGATTTTCTCTGGTTAGGATGAGGTTTATTTATCTTCATCTGACAACTGATTTTCAATGTACATTTTTGTTGTAATATATAAAATACAGAAAATGTTTTTATATCAGTGATCTCAATTATATCCAGCAAATACTATTGAGCACCAGCTGTCTGCTGGGGGTATGGGTGCATGTGATGGGAAGCGCACTGTCTGAGACCCTTAGATACACGAGCAGGCGGTATGGTGCAGCCTAAGAAGTTCTGGAATATGTCTTAATAGCTACTGTGAGAGCGCTTGGTCAGGTGAAGGGAAGGCTGCTCAGGAGAGTGTCTGGACTTTAGAGACTTGCTGGGTTCTAAGACTGAGGCAGAAGGTGCCAAATGACAGAAGAAAATCTAAAGTGGGGGCTCAGTGACCACTGGAAGTTCACGGCAGAGGACAAGTCATGTGGAAATGAAACTTTAGGAAGTGACTAGAGATGCAGAAGAACACCCATACTTGCAGATAGTACCCACTTGACCTGGCTTTGAAGGCTGGATGATCAGAACTTGACTAGAAGAAGAAGAGGGAGACAAAAACAAGTAACCTGCTACAATTAGATAAACTGTACCTATACTTATGGATGTAATAGCTCAAACGAGGGAACAAATCTATAGTGAGGATCACTCCCACCCCTCGGTACATAGGGTTGACAGGGATGGGCAACTTAGACATTGGCTACCCAAAATAGGGGGGCCTATAAATGCAAGAATTGACTGGCTACAAGCTTTCAAGAGGGAGCCCAGTACCAGACGGGGCAGGGGAAGGTAGAATCTCCACTGAATGATTTCCAATCTGTTGGGACCGGGCTGGAGAAAGGAAACGGGGTACAATAGTGAATAATTTCCATCATTATGGAAATGACTATGAGGGTAGGAAATATAGAGTTAGAGGTCCTTTGACAAAAGGAGGGGAGTAATTGATTTTGCAGCCCAGGAGCGGAGGTCCCTGGGACCATCAAGTGAGAAGAGCGGACAGCGGGACCCTACCCAAAGAAGGCAGTGATGCCAGGGATGGAGACAGAAACGATGACGTGGACAGTTGGAGCAGCTGGGAACATTGGACTCAGGGAGGGAGAGGGGCTGTGTGCTGACGGCTGGGGGGCGGGCCTATGGGGTGTAGCCTTTGATTATTTGATGATGCATGGAGGGGATTGTAATCATTGCAATGAAATGAAATACAACAGGATGAATGTGAGGCTGATATTCTACCATGTAGACCTCACAATAAAAACTTATTTGAAAAAAAAAAAAAAAAAAAAAAGTGACCAGAAAGTCAGGAAAAAAAAAACCCAGGAGAGACTGAACCAAAACCCATCATCACTGAGTCTATTCCAACTCATAGGGGCCCTCTGTGACCAAGTAGAGCTTTCTCACAGACTTTACCTAGGCTGGGATCTTTCCAGAAGCAGATGCCCGCATGCTTGTTCCACAGAGGCTAGGGGTTCAAACAGATCAGTTAGCAGCCATGCGCATACCCACTGTGCCACCAGACTTCCTAGGAGAGAATAGTATTGTGGATCTCCAAAGAACGTTTCAGGAATGAGGGGCCATGCTGCATGGGGTGTTCCAGAGAAATTGTGTAGGACGTCAATGTGTGCATAGTGTGAAGCAGTAGTGGTCACTCGATTGGTGGTCAAAGACTGCAGGAGCAGTGTGCTGCCCAAACATGGAAGGGCCTTTGCTAGGACTATAGGAGTTAGTGGTGGTGTGCTGTGGAGCCGACTCTGACTCCTAGCGACCCTGCACAGAGTTTCCGAAGCTGTAAATCTTTATGGGAGCAGAAAGCCTCATCTTTCTCCCGCGGAACAGCTGGTAGTTTCAAACTGCTGTCCTTGAGGTTAGCAGCCCGACTCGGAACCACTACACTACCAGAGTTCCTTAGAGCTAGTGAGTCAGGGAGAATTCAAGCAAGTAGTGACGAAGCAAGATTCTCACAAGCCATCCCCGAAACAGAAATCCACCTTCATTGGAGCATCACCTTTGCGTAATTACCTTGGTTGCTTTCGTACTCGTACCATCCAGGGCTCACCAAGAAGAGCTTTCTCTTCAGCGGTTGTGTCCCTGAATTCAGCGGTTGTGTCCCTGTTAGTTACTAACTTAGTCTTTCTGGATTTCATTCAGTGATTACTTACTGAGCAACTACAGTATGCCCATCTTTTAAATTATATGCTTACTGTCCCAGGGTTCCTTATTCAAGGAACCCTGGTGGCACTGTGGGATAAGCATTGGG